CGGGGGTCCACTGTACTATCGTACCACAGTCAGTTGCTGCTGCACCATGGTCAGCTGTACTACTCGAAGATGTGGAGAGACTGTTGTTGGTGCGGCTTATCGAGAATACCGAGAACCAATTAACCCCAGAGGGTTAGCCACCCAGGATAACCCAAGAAAGTCAGTGTGTCATCCAGGACTGTCTAACTTATTTCCATTGGGGTCCTTAATCTTGTCCCCCAGGATGCAACCCACGCCAGTCGACTAACACCCAGGTGAACAGGAAAAAATGCGTGGAACTAGTGCTCATATTGGTGAATTTAAGACCAGCAAAGGTTGGTTTGAGAGATTTAAGAATCGTAGTGGCCTGTTCTGGAAGAAAATGCCAAACAGGACCTACATTACTCAGAAGGAAAAGGCACTTCCAGGACACACTGTCCTATCCCTCATCACCACATCTTCAATAAGTGTCATTTATTCTTCATTCAGTACACTAGTACATGCACAATATATATTGTGCATGTATCCTTCTTTTTGTGTGTAGGAAAATGTATATTTCATGTGGTAAAAATTTTTTTTTTCATACTTTTGGGTGTCTTGAACAGATTAATGTGATTTTCATTATTTCTTATGGGGAAAATTAATTTGACTTACGATAATTTCGTCTTACGATGTGCTCTCTGGAACGGATTAATATTGTAAGTTGGGGGTCCACTGTACCTGTAAAAGAGATAAAAAATTGGCATTTTTGAGACATTTTTAAAATTTAACAAGGATAAACTTAACTACAGTGGACCCTCAGTTATCGGCCATAATCCGTTCCAGAAGGTCAGCCTAAATCCGAAAAGGCCGAGAACCAAAATAATATTTCTCGTAAGAATTAATGTAAATACAATTATTTCCCTCCAGACACCCCAAAAATATTAACAAAAAAATACATTTTTTAAAGATTAATTCTAGTTTTAAATGCTCAAAAGAATGAGAACTAAATAAAATAAATGAACATTTCAATCACTATTACATACCTTTATTGAAGACTCTTGTTGGCTTATGGAAGACAGGGAGGAGGAGTGGGAATCCCCCTCCATAAGGACTTCAGGTATCAAAGCCTTCTCTGGGGTTACTTCCCTTTTTCTTTTACTGCCACTAGGACCAACTTAAGGGTCACTGCACCCCTGCTGCACAAACAAACTGTCCAGAGAGGTCTGTTTCTGGTGTCTCTTTAAGATTTGCCTGAAGTGGGACAAGGTTTTGTCACTGAACATGTTACAGATATGGCTTGGTCAGGGCGATATATCTCTACAAAACTTTGCATCTCACTCCACTTTGCACACATGTCCTTAATCACTGAACAAAGCACATTTTCCCCCCTCTCTTCCTCCTCCTCTAAAGCATTTTCCTCAGCTATGGTCTGTTACTGTTGCAGATGAAATTCTTGCAGCTCTTCAGTGTAGCTCTTACTGGTGGTCCTCCACAAACTCTTCCACATCCTGGCCACTCGCATCGAACCCCATGGATTTTCCCAACAACACAGTAGAGTCCTAACCTTTGAAGCATTGCTTTCGTGTAGAATTTTTTGAAGTTAGAAATGACCTGCTGGTCCATGGGCTGGATGAGAGGAGTGGTGTTAGGAGGCAAGAACTTCACTGTTATAAAACTGAAGTCCCTAAACAAATGGTCTTCCAAGTCTGGAGGATGAGCAGGAGCATTGTCCAGTACCAGGAGGCACTTGAGTGGCAATTTATTTTCCTGGAGGTATTTTTTCACACATGGGCCAAACACTTCATGGACCCAGTCAGTGAAAATTTGCCTTATGACCCATGCCTTATTAACTTTCCATAACACACACAATTTACTCTTGACGACATTGTTTTTCTTGAACAGATTTTCAGTGATACACCACTGAAGGCTTTGCTTTGAAATCCCCACTAGCATTACCACAGAACAAAAAAGTTTGCCTATCCTTCATAGGCTTGTGTCCTGACAGTGCCTTTTCCTCCTGCATGTTGTAGGTCCTCTTTGGCATTTTCTTCCAAAAGAGGCCTGTTTTGTAATAATTGAACACTTGTTAGGGGAGGAATCCTTTAACCTCCACGTACTCCTTGAATTCATCAACAAATTCCTTGACCCCATGTTTGTCCAAACTTGCAGCCTCACCATGCCTTACAACACTGTGTATGCCACTATGCTTCTTAAATCTCTGAAACAAGCCTTTGCTGGCCCTAAATTCACTAACAGAAGCACCCGTTCCAGGCATTTTATTCACGAGATCCGCATGAAACTGCCTTGCCTTTTCACAAATGATAGACTCCACAGCACTCTCTCCCAATAATTGTTTATTGTTTATCCACACCAACAATAACCTCTCCACTTCTTTGATTATTGGTGACCTTTGTTTTGTTAGCATATTTACCCCTTTTGCAACATTAGCTTCCTTGATTTCTACTTTCTTTGCCAGGATGGAAGTGATTGTTGATTTGGATTTCCCATACATCCTGACAAGCTGGAGCACATGTACACCACTCGTAATTTGCTACAAAATCTTTTTTTAATTCCATCGTGTTTCTCACTTTCTTTACCAAAGGAATTTTACTAGGAACTTTCTTTGGGTCAATGGTGGCTTATTTTGCAGTTGCACTCAATAAACACCCAGAAAAACAATGGATTATGATGAAATGTTTGGATGAATGTATGGAGTCTTCCTCACTCTCCGAGACACAGCCAAACTGACTCACGAACCCGTAGAGTGGCGGGATGGATGTGTCCAACACGGCTGATTTCAGAGTTGACAGCTGAAATCCAGGATAGAATTTCGGCCAAGAAAGCGGCTGAAATTTGAATTGGTCGATATCCGGAACGACCGATAACCAAGAGTCCACAGTATTTTCAGGATATTATTGCGAGATAAGTGAAAGCCTCTTCTATTTAGCTTCAAAGGAGGAATTGGGTTGTTAATTTCTATGATAACTTGTTAATACCTACTCTGATTCACTTCAAATCTTCAGTGCTGATACTTAGCTGTATTACACTGCATTTTTTCAGTCACGTGCATTGATGCATGGGACCTGGGTTATGTACTACAGAGGGGGATACCTCTCTTATCACTCAGCAACTGAAATATCCGCTAGGAATTTTTATTGACCTAAGAAAAGCTTTTGACACAGTAGACCACGGCATCCTACTCCACAAACTTGACCATTATGGTATAAGAGGCCATGTGCTTGGATATTTCAAATCCTACCTTACTAATAGGTAACATCAACACAGCCACTTGATACTGGAGTTCTGCAGAAAGTGTCCTTGGACCCCTGCTCTTCCTCATTTACATCAATGACCTTCCAAACATATCCCAACACCTGAAACCCATTCTCTTTGTTGACAACACGACTTGTGTCATCTCTCACCCTAATCTTGACACCCTCAACACCATCGTTAACGAGGAGCTGCTCAAAATATCGACTTGGACGACAGCCAATAAACTTACACTTAACACTGACAAAACCTACTATATTATGTTTGGTAGCAGAGCAGGTGTTGTGCAACTTAACATTAAGATCGACAACACTCTAATTGCCAGACATAATGAGGGCAAATTCCTAGGCCTATACCTCAACAACAACCTGAATTTCAGCACCCTATCCAACACACAACAAAAAAAGTATCCAAAACAGTTGGGATCCTCTCCAAGATACAATACTATGTGCCGCAAAATGCCCTTCTCACACTATACCATTCACTCATTTATCCATACCTCACCTATGCTATTTGTGCTTGGGGATCAACTGCAGCAACACACCTAAAGCCAATAATAACCCAACAAAAAGCCGCAGTAAGAATAATCACTAAATCCCATCCCTGGCAACACACCCCCCCACTCTTCATAGATCTAAACTTATTCCCTGTTCAGAACATCCACACTTACTACTGTGCAATCTACATCTACAGGACCTTAAATTCCAATATTAACCTTGACCTAAAACGCTTTCTTGATAGTTGTGATAGGACCCACAGGCATAACACCAGACACAAACATCTCTACGACATTCCCCCGTGTCTGACTAAACCTTTACAGAAATTCAATGTATGTCAAAGGCCCTAAAATCTGGAACACCCTACCTGAAAACTCTAGAACTGCAGACACATTCATCACCTTCAAAACTACCGTTAGAAAACATCTTATCTCCCTGATATACCCTGTTAACTAACTACATAAAAACCACCTGGTGGTTCACACTTACACTCACCCATTTGACTCTAAGCACAGAAATACGAATCTTAATCTTAAAATAATGATTCCTAACTAGTCATAAGTTTGCCTGTGATACTCCAATATAGAAACTATGTATTTTGCTAAAACAAAAGCATTCACATTGCTAAACTCACAAGCTAGTATTTAATCACTTAGTATTTAGTCAACTTACTCCATAATTTGTAATAATTTAGGGTTAAGAATTAATCTAAGTTTGCCCGAAATGCCTAGGCATGCTAGGTGTCCTAGTGGCCCCCTCTGTAATTAGTATTTTACTACATGTAAACCACACATTAACCAAAATCTGTAAACCCTGCATTGTAATCCTTATAGAGAATAAACTTGATTGATTGATATAATTATGGGGAAGCACCAAACCCATGTGGGTCATACAGTGCCTGAGGAATGGGAGGCAGTTGGGTTTGATACAAGAGGATAATTCTTCTTACTACTTGGATTGAGAGCTTCCTCACTGACTTTTAATTCATCACTTGAGTAATTTTTTGTTTTGTCACCACACTTTAGTGGAAATCAGTCCACATAGTAATGTAACTTTATAAGATTTGTTTTTCTTAAAGCAATAATTGCCTTGTTGGAGTGTTTACCGTGTTCATGCACAGTTCTGTATTTGTTGAATTTTATTATGTCTACCTATCTGTTATTTAATAAACTAATGCAACTGATAAGTAGCTTAAAGTCTTAAGCAATAAATCAGTCATGAACACAGTTCACACCATGAATATTTTGACTGATATCTTGCATCTTCACACAGGAGCTACAAATGGATAACACGTAAGGATTCGTTGAAGAGACTCGTGAAGATGCATGGAGAAGACTTGAGGAAGAACCGCCTTGAAGCATATCAGGCAGCTCTTGAGCTTCAGAAGGAGCCCTTCTTAAAAGAGAAGGCTGAAACACTGCAGTGGATTGCTGAGACTGAGACTAGTCTTGGTCTTCCTGTCAGTGTTACTCTTCCTCAAGATCCCACACCAACTGTAGATTCTACCTTGGACTCTGAATAACAAAATATTTGTCAATTGAGTTTTATGTATTCTGTGGTAGACATGATTTTGTGTAAATTCTTTAGATCTCAAATTCATTCTTCGAATGATATTTAACCATTATGCAAAATAATCGTGGGGGGAGTAGAATGATAGCTCTAGGGTTAGTGTTGCAGTCAACACATCAGGAGCTTGCAGAGTTGCAGAAAAAATAGGATATTCAAGCCAACACGATCCCAGAGGATGTATTCATTGGAGAGAGGGAAGGAGAGAGAGTCTTATGTAATTTTTGATAATTGCCACGTTACTTTCGTTTAGGCTACTATTAAAATATCAGCGCTTGTGGGATTTTTCTAGTGCAATAATATTCAACCTTTCTGGTATGCCTAGGGGCATTTCCCGTTCCCTCTCTCTCTCTCTCCATTGAATACATCCTCTGGGATCATGTTGGCTTGGACATCCTCCTTTTTTCTCTAACTTTGCAAGCTCCTGATTTGTTGATTGCAACATGAAAGGCCTAGGGTTATCATTCTACTCCCCCTGTGGTTGTTTTTCAGCTTGTATCACTTGGTTTGCGATATTTGCATAATTAACCATCATGTACAGTATATATTTGAAACCAGTCCTGGCAGTCATAAAGATGTTTCAGTAATACTGAAACTGCAGTCCTCTGATAGCAATAAAAACAAAATTATTTTATTTTCTTTATAAAGGAAACCTTAATGGCGAGTTAATATTTAAAACTGAAGACAGCAGCATTGTAGTACAGTGCATGTAGGGCATAGTCCTGTGCTTTAGGCAGCTAAAGCTGCCTTTTCTGTGAGATAAGTGCTTTTTTCTTAGCATTATGAGTACTTAAGTGTTATTTACTAGCATCAGTATTGACAACAACTTTGTTCATATTACTGTATTCATGGTATTCCTCACGGAACCTGATTTCCTTCCATTCCCCATGTGCTGCCCCGTGATGCTTTGGGGCTCCCTCCCTCCTTCCCCTGAATGTGATACTTGTACAAAAATACCTCTTCAAGGGGGGCTCCTTGGTGCAGTGAAGAGGCTCTTGGTTTGAGGAATTGGTCTCCTTCCTTATACTGAACCTAATTATCCCCCCTTCCCTATCCCATCTTCCCCATCCCTCTTTTCCCTTTCCTCCTCTCCCTATCCCCTTCTTATTTTCAGCCTTTAGGATTCTTCCCACAGGTACACTAGTTCCTAGGTAGAGGGAAGGGTACCGTGGTACATGCCATTCTGTCTAGGTCCGTGGTGGTGTAGTTTGCCATGGAATCTGAATCGCCTGGGGATGTCCCACTCCCTCTCCGGTCTCCTGGGGGAGTGTCTACCTCGTTATTTGACATTTCTTATGCCCCTGTACCTCTTGCTGGTGCAGTTTCATCACCTGCTCCAGGTACCGGGGTTCTGCCGGACTCCTTTGATACATCTGACCTCCGCACTTCTTTGACCATGCTTCTGGCTCCTCCCTCTACCTTTCAACGATTTTTGGATCACCCACCTGTACCCCATTGGACCAACCCTGGTCCTACACCTAAATGCCCAAGACCATCTACCTGATGATACTCCTTCACTTCCTTCTCATTCTGCCCAGAAAAGACCAACACGACACTCCCTTCCCTTACACGCTATGTTTCAAATGCACAATGGACTAAGTATTTTACTCTGTGACAGACTAGTTCTCCTGACTATCTGATCATAGTACGTATTAGCAAGGCACTCCTACACCATGTTGGTCGAGATATATCCTTTCATGCTCTCGAGCGGTGCACACATCATCACGATACAGAATGCTAGCCAAGCTCGTGATCTTTCTCTCCTTACAACCATAGATGCTATTCCTCTTAACTATTGGAAAACATCATTCTCTCAATTCTTGTAGTGGTACTGTCATTCTACTTCATATCATTGTCCAACAGAATTTCCAGACATGTGGTGTTGACATTCTGGAACAGCTTGAGCTCCAAATCATCAAAGTAGATGCTTGTGTCCTCCCTTCCTCCTTGCTCACTTAACTTTTGACTGCCACGAGCTTCCATCCTTGGTTTATATTGCAGGACTCCATTTACAAGTTCGAAAGGTGATCTCTACACGGCAACAGTGTAGAAATTTCTGGTGTTTTGGTCACCCAGTCTGTGGTTCCAAAGCCTATTTTTGGCCCAAAATGTCCTCAGATATCACTACATATTGTAGATCATGTAAAGTTTGCCAACTGTCATCCTCCCGAGGTACCCGGCGAGTACCTGTGGTCAAAATGCCAAACTTTACGGTACCGTTTGAAAGAGTAGCTATTGACATTGTTGGTCCTTTATCACCACTTTCATCTGGGGGACATAGATATACTTTAACATTAGTTGATTATGCTTCGAGTTTCCCTGAAGCCGTACCCTTAACCCTTTGACTGTTTCGGTCGTATATATACGTCTTACGTGCCACTGTTTCTGACGTATTTATACGAGTAAATTCTAGCGGCTTCAAATCAAGTGGGAGAAAGCTGGTAGGCCCACATGTGAGAGAATGGGTCTGTGTGGTCAGTGTGCACCACATAAAAAAAATCCTGCAGCACGCAATGAGGAAAAAAAAAGCTCTGACCGTTTTTTTGGATTAACACGCCGACTTTGAGGTGTATTTTTGTATAGTATTTATCGTTGTATTCTCGTTTTCATGGTCTCGGGTGATAAAATGGAAAACATATTATAGAAGTAGAGATGATTTTGATTACTTTCAAGATGAAAATGACCTTGAAATTGAGCTCAAAGTAGTGGAAATGTTCGATTTTTACCAATGTTCAGGAGTAAGCAAATCACACCACATGTCCAATACACTTCAACTGGGGAGTCTAATATTCTTTCACTAGTGCACTGATATTATTTATACCATTTTTACAATAATGCAGTAGTCTGCATAACAGTAAATTTTGTATTTTTTTATATGAATAAAAAATCAAAATAGAAAGCAATAGTAATATAAGAGGGGCCTAGAGACATGACTAATGAACAGAGGATATGTTATTTTAGTGCCAAGAATGTCTACATTGTTTATTCCGGAACCTATTTTGAAATTGGCATCTTTTTTAATTTGCGTGAAATTGGCCAAATTGCCAATTTCTGACCACTTTATTGGGTCGTTCAGAATCAGAAATGGGCGGTTTCTTGTACTCAACTGATAGAAAAAATGGAGTTCTAAAGAAATAGCTGAGAGTTTGGTCAACTGGAACAACGGAATTGGCCAAAAACAGGGCTCAAAGTCAGCGAAATCTCCAATGCGTACATGTCGCCGAGACTGCTAACTTCGCGGGAGTGTAATTCCATGAGTTTTCAATCAAATTTCTTACTTTTGGCATCATTACCATTGGGAAAAGGTTCTCTATCATTTCATAAGAAAAAAATCATTTTTTTTTCCAAAAACTTATCGACATAGAATGAGTTTCAGAAAGGGGCCTGCGACAGTCAAAGGGTTAAAGTCCATAACTACTACAGAGGTGGCTGAAGCACTTCTGTCCATCTTCTCCAGAGTTGGCATCCCTAGAGAGATTTTGTCGGACCGTGGGACACAATTCACATCTGAACTAATGCAACATCTCTACCAACTTCTGGGAGTGAAACCTCTCTTCACAACAACCTATTATCCCAGCTGTAATGGGAGGATTGAGCACCAGCATTCAATTCTCAAGTCAATTTTAAGGAAACTTTGCTCCCTTAACCCTTTGACTGTTTACGCCGTATATATACGTCTTACGCGCCACTGTTTCCGACGTATTTATACGCATAAATTCTAGCAGCTTCAAATTAAGCAGGAGAAAGCTGGTAGGCCCACATGTGAGAGAATGGGTCTCCATAGTCAGTGTGCACCACATAAAAAAAAATTGGGGAGCCAGTGGTGCATTGTGGGAATGCTATTTCAGTCATCCTTTTCCAGCATGCTTATTTGCGGTAAGAAATATGCGACTCCCCAGCAAATCTGGGACTCTTCTCTTCCCAAGTGATGCTCTAACACAGATGGAAGTGTCAGTGAAGATCAATTTCATGATTTCCAGGAGTTTGAGACCAAAAGCAATGGAGGAGGAGGAGGAAGAAGAAGAAGAGGAGGAGGAGGAGAAGAGGAGGAGGAAGAGGAGGAAGAGTAGGAGGAGGAGGAAGAAGAGGAAGAAGAAGAAGAAGAAGATGTAATAATATTGTTCCCTTGAAGCAAGCAAAAAAAAAAGTCCACCCCATGACAGTGACAAGATAAGGGGAGATAACATCTGATAAGAGCTGACGTTTGATGAGCGTAAACGAGGGTGGGGGAGGGGGCAGCTGATAAGAAAAGATTAGATGACCATCGCCTTTCCTTTGTTTTTGCTGGTACACAAACATTTCTGTCTGACTATTTGTCTGTCTGCCAACCTCCCTGTCTATCCTTCTAGTTCTCTATCTCAGAGAGAGCCACAAGACTGTCATCATCACGTTTACTCACATCTTCAAACAGAGTATAGCACTTTGTCTGGATTTTTGGGGTTATCCTAGGTAATTTACACTATGTATACTTGTATTTATGTGTACCTGTGAGACAGAGATTAGACAGACAGATAGAAAGAGAGAGACAAATTGAAAGAGATAGAATGAGGGAGAAAGATAATTAGATAGAATGGAGGGGAAGCAACATCCGACCCCATTGTTTTGACAGGTGGTAGGGGGAGTGAGTAATGAGATAATATGTCATTTTGACAGCTGCTGACTCCTGACTCAAAACAATTATAAGCCACACACTCGCACACAAGACAAGCTTGCTGAAGGGTGATAATAGGAGTTTTATGAAAGTATCTAGTGACTATATATGTGTATATATATTATAGAAACCAGAAGGAAGGACGAATGGAAGGCAAGAATGAAGGAAGGACGAGATGAAAGGAAGGAAAAAAGTAAGGAAAGATGAAAGAATGTAGGAAGGAAGGAAGGTAGGAAAGGAATGCAGGAAGGTAGGAAAGGAATGCAGGAAGGTAGGAAAGGAATGCAGGAAGGTTAGAAACGAATGCAGGAAGGAAGGAAGGAAGGAATGATGACACATGACCATTTACCTAGGATAACTACATAACACAACTGCCTGCTAATACTTTGAAGAAAACTGCTCAGACGAGGTGTTTTGCCTTTGCACATAAAAAAGTCCACAAAAATGCACACACACTGGTTTTATGTGTAAGGAGTGTAAAACACCATTGTGTATGAAAACATGTTTCAAAGAGTTACACAAGCTGCAGAACTTCTAGGAATATGTTTGGTGACTGTACATTGGTATATATATTATAGAACAATAGTAATAAAAAAATTTTTGTATTTGTTTTTGTAAACAAGTTTTGTAAACAATATATTGATAATTACGTTTGTGTGCTTATTGTGTTGTATACAACGAGTGTATATATGTACATTGCACCTTACTTTGGTCTCTCAGACCACATAAGTTATGTGAAAAAATAAAATAGTGAAAAAAACAACAAACCTTCAAATACAAGTAAACCAAAGTTTACCGGGTGAGCGGCAGTCCAGTCGCCACTGTTGCCATACGCGGCTCATTTTCTGCAAACTTCACGACTCTATACCTCGGTAAGTACTGCTGGCAAAAATTTTTTTTGGACTAAAACACTCAGAAAAATAATCTTAACATTTTCATAAGAATTTTTTTTTTTTTTTCGAATATTTTGTGACATAGA